GGGGTCCGGGACGGCGTCGGCGCGGGGGCACATGGCCGGCGGCGAGCGGCTGCGGCCGGGCCCGGGGCGCCGCGCTTTATAGCGACCCTGCGGAAGCCGCGTTTTCCGGGGCGGGGCGGGCGGGGATCCCGGCGTCCCGCCCCGCTCGGCCTTCCGTGCGAAGTTTCCCTAACTTTCTCTTCTCTGAATCTCCACTCTCCTTCTCCTTTCTCGCCCTCCGAGGGCCAGCCCACCGTTTCCTCTTCGTCCCCACTTGTCTCCCGTGCCTCCCGGCGATCTCCGTCCGCCTCTCTGTCTCTCTGGGTGTCTCTTTGTACCTCTGCACCGCCTCTTTTCCCTGTGCCTCGCTCGCTCGCTCGCTCGCTCTTTATCTGACCACTGTCTCCGTAGGAGGTCGCGCGGGATCTTTCCGTCTCTCGGCCTCATTATTTCCGTGCGTCTGCTTCTGTGTCCCCGCGACTCCCCCTGTCTCTCTAGGCCTCTGCCTCTCTGGTTTTTCTGTTTCTCAGTCTCTGTCTCTTTCCCTTCCTTCTTGCCACTCCCTAGCCCCCCCGCCCCGCAGCGCTCCCCTAAATCCAGCATATCTGCGGAGGGGTCAGAGGACAGCCAGGCCTCAGCCCCCTTCAGCCCTCCCCCCCCCCCAACCCTCCCTCACCTTCCCGGGGAGCCTTGGGCCTTCCCCATCTTGCCCCCACCCACCCACCTGGGCGCTTCCCGGCAGGGGCCCCCTCTGGACCCCACAGGCAGAAGGCTGGAGAGTCCAGGTAGAGAAATCCCCCTTGTCGGGAAGAGCCAGCCCTGGCTAAAGCAGAGGAAACTCAAATTTCCCATTCGCTGTCCCTGGTAGAGGCGGAGGCGGAGGCGGGAGGAGGAGCGGAGCAGGGGCCAAAACTCGCCCCAAAAGAGGAAGCCACCGTTCGTTACGAGACCGGCGGCCCTGGAAAAGTCCTGAGCCCCTACAAAAGCCCTGCTCTGCCCGGCCCCGGCCGGGTGGCCACGCCAATCCTCTGACCCTCTCTGCAGGCCTCACTTTCCCTGTGGAAACTGGGAGGGCCCGCAGGACACCTGATCTCGGCCCTGCTTGGGCAGCCAGGAAATGCAGGGGGTGGGAAGGGGGGTTATGTTGGTTCAACTGAGTTAAGTATAGGATGGCACGCCCCTGCGTTCTATCCTGTTGTATTGGGCCTCCCTGGGGAATTAGGGGACGAAAACAATGATGACACTGGCCGTTGTTGGTGCACAGGTGCTAAGTGCTTCCGGTGTGAGTGGTTTATAAGGTGTGATACCCGAACCAGCAGCAGCAGCAGCAGCACCTGGGGATTTGTTAGTTATGCAAATTCTAGCACCACAAGCTAGACCTGCTGACGCTCTGGGAGCATAAACTCTGGAGTCTCTGAGGAGTCTCGGTGGGGATGAGCCCTCCAGGCCACTGCATTGCGCCGGGCACTTGCCACCTGAATGTTCTTCCCCCAGACCGGCAGGCAGGGGACACCTTCTTGACGCTCACTTTCCGTTCCAGCGACACTCTGGGCAGAGATGATGAGCCCAGCACCGGGTACACTGTGCTTTTTCCCGAAACCCCAGCGCGGTCACAGCTAGAGCAGTTGTTTTTGAAAACTAAGCCAAAATTGTCAGCCAGCAGGCTGGGGAGCCAAGATGATCTCTCTGGCACAATGCCGCCATCACCATCCCCCAAGGCACGGTGGTTGGTGGCCACCCCACCCCCCAGGGCTCCCAAAGAGAGTGCGGTGGGTGGCAGCTAAGGTCCAAGAGTCACCCTGGACACCAGAGCGTTAAGTGCACCGGTGCCCCTGAATGCAGGAGCTGAAATGTCCCCACCGCAGCCCTCACCACCCCCACTCAGCACCCAGGACTGGGAAGATGCGACAGTAAAAGGCCCATCTCCTAGGAACCTGACCAACCAGGAAGGAAGATACACAGATACTGAGGCCAAAGGGCCCTCTTCTGATGGCATCACTCAGCCAAGAAGCTCACAGGCCATGGGCCAGTCTGGTTTTGTTTCGTTTTTTAAGGTTTTTTTTTTAAATGTTGGGGCGCCTGGGTGGCTCAGTCGGTTGAGCATCTGTCTTCGGCTCAGGTCATGATCTCACGGCTCCTGGGTTCAAGCCCTGCATCGGGCTCTGTGCTGACAGCTCAGAGCCTGGAGCCTGCTCCGGATTCTGTGTCCCTCTCTCTCTCTCTCTCTGCCCCTTCCCCATTCACAGCCTCTCTTTCTCTCTCTCTCTCTCTCTCTCTCTCTCAAAATAAATAAAAACCAAAAGATTTTTTTAATGTTTTTTCTTTATTTTGAGAGAGGGCACACGAGTGGGGGAGGGAGAGAGAGAATCCCAAGCAGGTTCCACATCGTCAGCACAGAGCCCCATGTAGTGAGAACAAGACCTGGGCCGAAATCAAGAGTCAGAAGCTCAACCAACTGAGCCACCGGGGGCCCCTTGGGCCAGTCTGTTTATTATTAAGTCCTACCCCCACAGTAGGCCCACAGCCAAGGATTGCCTCCGCTGACAACAATGGTATTTGGGGGACCACAAGCATCACCTTCTCCGATGACCTGCATGAAAGTGTCCCCCCCTGGGGTCCCGGGTGACACTGCCCCTGCTGAGTTTCCTTGAGAGCATTTCCACCATCTGAAATATTCTTATTTCTTTATTTCCTTGCTGGTTTTGCCTACAAAATTGTTATCTCCTGAAGAGAAGCATTTCATCTGCTTTGTGACCCTTCTCCCTCCAGTGCCCAGAAAATGGCCAGCCTCCGTAATATTCATTGAATGAATGAATGAATGAATGAATGAACGAGTGAAGTCCAGCATGACAGTTACCCACACAGGCTCTAGAGGTCAAGAAACCACAGTCCACGAGCTACAAAATTTTCGTTCCATTTTTTTCCGGTTTTGAGTGGCCGGGGAAACTCAAAAGAAGAATTATTTCATGGCATATGTGCAAATTACATGAAAGTCAAATGTGAGTGTCCGCAAATAAAGTTCTGTTGGCACGTGGCCACGCCCATTCATTTGAGGGTTGCCTATGACCATATTTCCAATACTACAGCAGAGCTGAGCAGTTGCGACAGAGACTGGCCCACAAAGCCCAAGATATTTACTCTCTCTGGTCCATTTCAGGAAAAAAAAAAAAAAAAAGTTGCCATCTCTGCTCTTGAGTTTGGAATTTCAGCTCTCAAAGTTCTTGCTGTGTGATCTCAGGCAGCCTGCTTCACCTCCCTGAGCCTCATTTTTCCTATATGTTGAAGGGAATAAAAGTACGTCTCAAAGGCTGGTTGAGAGCTTGCCGTGAGCAGTACCAGGCACAGAGTAAATGCTCAATAAAGGCGGGCTGGCATATATGACCACTGAATCTCTTAACAGCCCCAGTACAACGTCAGCCCCGATATGTAGATGCAGAAACCAAGACTCCAACAAAACATTGAAGTCGATGAGCCTCAGTGACTCACGATGACTGTTCTGAACTCCTCCCTGCACCAAGGGACTTGGAAGAGTCCTATACACTACCCCCCAAGGAGAGGAAACAAAGCCCAGCAGATCGGGGAAGGATCAGGCCACAGCCAGGGAGTGCCATGACGCGCTGCTGTGGTCGGGACATCTGAGCCAGGCAGCCCTGCCCACCGTGAGGCTCTCATCATCACCCTGCTGGCATCCCACGTTCACTAGAGTAGCACCTCTGCGTTCAGCTGTCTCCCCAAGGCGAGCGTGGGCCCGGTTTTCCTTGCGTTTAGGGGTAGGACCTGACTCCTCACCCTTATCATCACAGCGTTTAAGGGGGGGGGGGGCGCGGGGCAGGAAGTAGTTGGAGGGAGGAGTACCATGCCTTCCCCCTAGGAAGCCCAGTGAACAGGTACCTCCCCAGGAGGTATGCATTGATTTTTCTTAGCAAAATTCAGTTCCTGATCTCTGGGTTCTACACTGCTCCCCAGCCCCTGCAGGTGGCCCTCCCCCCAGCCTGTGTCAACTTCTAGCTGGCCTGGATCCTCTGTCTCCCCTAGGGCAGAGGCAAAGTGTAGTGATGTCCGCTGAGCAAGAACAGGAGGGAGAGAGCAAGCAAATGGGGGGGGGGGGGTGTGGTAAACAAGAAGGAGAAAAAAGGGAAGAATCAAATCAAAGGGGGTTGGTCTTGAGCCACGGCAATGTTAACATGTGTAGAAGGAGGAAAGAGACACAGAAGGGGGACTTGTGTTATACAAGTTAGCCAAGTCTCTGGAAAAGCTAGGTTCGGGTCTCCGTAGCCCTAGATAGGACGGAAAAACATAGGGCCCCATACGTGAGCGTGTGTACCTGTGGTGTTGTGTCAGCACTACAAGGCATGGTCGTGCAAAGCAATTCAGCTCTGTGGAGTTGGAGTGCATGAGCAGCTACTCCAGAATCATGTGTTTCCAATGTGACGTTGCACACTTAGGAATGAGGAAAGGGTGTGGGGGGGAAGGGGGTCCCCGTATATGCACAGCTATGTCCCTGCTTGAGAAACAGCACTAGCACACGATCCAAACTGCTCAGCTTCATGAGCCCAGCTCTGCCTCTTGCTAGTTGCATGATCTTGAGCAAATTCCTTCCCCTCTCTGTGCCTCGGTTTTCCCATCTGGGAAGTGTGGCTACCACCAGTGACCACCTCATAAGATTATTGTCCAGGACTGGGAGCCAGACCAGTGCCCGGCCTGGCATATAAGGTGCTCCAAGCAGTTAGCCGTCATTGCTACCAGTGGGGCTGACAGCCTGGTTCTCCTCGTGAACATACCACCAGGGTCGAAAACCTAGTGTGGACATCTGAACAGAGAGGCAGACAGGCAGGAATGTCTGTTGCAAAAGTGTTGCGATTGCAAACGGCCAAAGCAGCCGCTGAAAAAGAACTGGACAGATTACTCTTCATAGAATCAATTTGGTAATCAAGCTGTGCACGAGGTTGAGTCACCTCCTTGGGGCTCGAGAGAGATGTCCAGGGGCTAGGAAAACTAAGTAAGCTGCAGGATGCCTTGTACTGAAATACGTGTTTTGCTTTAGAGCAGAGATATATTTGCACAGCACATTTCTAGAAGGTATATATATATTAAAAAAAAAAAAAACAACAGAGGAATCTGCGGTGAGCAAATGTGGCTCTCTCACTGTATATGCTTTCGCCCACCTGCATTTTCCATGTGCTACTGTTTTGCTTTGTTTTGTTTTGTTTTGTTTTTATGTTAAGCACGGAATTGTGGTCAGGTGTGCACACACGTAGAAAGAAACCAGTAGCCCGAGCTGAAGAAGGGAAAATTTAGCACCAATGACATCAAGGGCAGGAAATGGTGTTTCCCTGCTAAGGGCAGTAGAAGGACACAGGGATGGGGAAGGCCCAGGCAGACCAGGGCCAGCCCCCAGGACCCCTCAGAGGGGCCTGGCATGAGAAGCCAGATCATTCTGCTGGGAAGCAAGCCCAACTGCCCCAGGAAGGAAGTCCCAGGAGGGCCACCACCTGGAAGGGACTCTCCAACTTGCTCAGGGAGGCAGCCACAAAGCAGATAGACAAAGGGGTACCACAGACACCTCCATTCAAGTCATACACAATCACACAAAACAAGACACACACACACACACACACACACACACACACACACACACACACACA